CCATTCAGAAAAATCAGAGACAACACAGCACTATCCTGAATCCAGAGTCCCTGGGTACTTTTCATCCTGATGTGGATTTTTTCCTTTATATTACTTTCCTCTTTTTTTAAAGACTTTATTATTTTAAACTATTTTTCTATGACTGTCTATATCCTTTTTCTTTTCTTAAGCCTATATATTTTTGAACACTCCGTAACCTGTTTAGGGTTGTTGTTTTTTTTTTCCTCTGTGAACTTGCTTTGCTGTGAATCTCTAGACTTTTCTGCTGCATGAGCAAAATCCTAAACTGGTAAGCTACCACTGGGTCCCCTGCCGAGACTTTGGCAGCTGGCTCTGGCACTTCTCGGATCTGCAAGAGCCAAGCCTAAAGCTTGTGGGGTGGTTGGAGGTGAATGACCAAGAACTGCCTTCAGCCACACCAAATCTAAGAAGTTGGTGTCCTTCACTGTGGCAGGCATTATACTTAGTTTTTTATTTCTACTTAGTGTGAAAAGGGCTGTTTAAGTTCTCTACTATATGGCAGAGTTTCTTAAAGGAGCCTTACCTATTTTCTTTTCTCTCCTTTTCCTTTTCAGCTTTCTCAGGCCCTGTGTTGAAATATGGGCCCCATGTTAGAACACTAGAATGTACCAGACTTTTTCGTTTAGGCCACCAATCAGCTTGACAGAGAGACACCAAGTCTTGACAGAGAGACATATTATTAGCTATGAATACTCAGTCTAGTTTAGGCACATTTCTGGCTAGCTCTTTTAACTTAAATTAATCTGTTTCTCTTTACCTTTTGTCTCAGAGCATATTGACCTTTCTTACCTCTGTATATCTTACTTTCACTGTTTCTTTGTGTCTGGCTGACTGGCATCTGCCTGGCTTCTTGCTCCAGGTATGTCTCTCCTTCTCTCCTTCTCTTGTTCTTATTAAATCTTCCTTTTGAGCCCAGACTTCTCCTATTTTATTCTCTCTGCCCAGCTATTGTCTGTTCAGCTATTTATTAGACCAATCAGGTGCCTTAGGCAGGCAAGGGGAAACATGTGCAACACATCTTTACATAATTAGACAATTGCAGAATAAACAAATGTAGCCACCTTTACACAGTTAAAGTAATATTCGGCAACGTAAACAAATGTAGTCTATCTTTGCCTGGCATAACACATATCCTACAACATCTTTCATTGTTTTCCTCTGTTGAGGTGGACAATTTCTGTTCATTGTTGCTGCTTTTTTAAATAATTTATCACTCATTTAAGGACATTTAAGTATAATTGTCATAGTTTTCCTTTTGTTGTTCTTATACTTTTTTTTTTTGAACCAGGCCTGGAACTTACCATGTAAACAATTCTACAGAGATTTACCTGCTTCTGTCTCCCAAGTGCTGGCCATTGAATTCTTATTCCATAATTGTAATTATGTAATTTTAATAAATTTTGTGAAACTTCCATTACTTTAAGCTAAAAAATTAAATTAAACTGGGTAATAGGCATCCTGTCATCCCAGCCCTCAGGAGGCTAATGCAGGATGGTCTCAGTTTTAAACTAGTGTGGGCTGCAAAATAAGACTCTGTCTCAAAAAAAACAAAAAAAACAAAAAACAAAAAAGTAAAATTTTAGCAGTTTTTTTCTGTTCCTTTCTTTGCAGACTCCAATTATGTGTGAATTAGGTTGACTTGAGCCAGCTGTTCTATCACGGATACTCTGCACCCAGCTCCCAGTCACCCTCTGCTTTATCATCCCGGTCTTGACGCTCTCCAGTCCGTCCTTCCTTCCTTCCTTCCTTCCTTCCTTCCTTCCTTCCTTCCTTCCTTCCTTCCCTCTGTCCCTCCTTCCTTTCTTTCATTTTATTTTTCTATAGAGTTTTTCTGTGTAAAAACAGCCCTGGCTGTCCTAGAACTAGCACTTGTACACCAGGCTGGCCTCGAACTCACAGAGATCCACCTGCCTCTGCCTCCCAAGTGCTGGGATTAAAGGCGTGCACCACCACTGCCCAGCCAGTCCTTTCTTTAGAGCATTACTTGATATTTTTAATCTCAGAGGTTGTGGTTTTCTATTCTAAAAGTTTGACTGGCTCCTCATGCTACCCTGTACTTTATTGAATAAATACAGTATAGTTAAAACCTTTTTTTTTAGGGGGGGGTTCTCTCTCTGTAGCTTTGGAGTCTATTCTAGAACTAGTTCTGTAGACCACTCTGACCTCAAACTCACAGAGATCTTCCTGCCCCTGCCTCCTGAGTGCTGGAATTAAAGACATGCACCACCACTGGGCAAGTTTTTTTGTTGTTATTTAAGTAAAGTCCATCCTAGGTCTCTGGGGTATCCTGCTTCTGAGTCCTGGCCCTCATGCAGAGCTACCTCTCTGGGTATGAGTTTCCAGCTCCGCCTGTTTCTGCTCCCTCTCTACCCCAGCACATCTTGTAGGCAGAACAGGTTGAAGGGTTTGTGGATGGGGGGTTCCAGACCCTCCACTGAAAGTCTGGTCTGATTTCAGGAGAGGCTGGTTCAGGCTCCATAACCCCTATTGCTAGTAGTCTTACCTAGAGTCACCTCATAGATTCCTGGGAGTTCCCATTGCTCTAGGATAGAACCAAACACTAATGGGAAAAAGTCAATTAAATGATCCCTAATGATGTTCTGCTATACTCATAGATCGGTGCCTATCCCAACTGTCATCAGAAAAGCTTCACCCGGTCACTGATGGAAACATGCAGAGACCCACAGACAGACATTAGGCAGAGCTGTGTAATCTTGTGGAAGGGGTGGAGGAAGGATTGTAGGACCCAGTGGTGTCAAGGGCACCACAAGATAACCCACAGCACCAACTAATCTGGGCACTCATAGGGGTTACAGAGACTGAACCAACAACCAGACAGCCTGAAAGGGACTGACCTAGGCACTCTGCATTTATGTTACAATTGTGTAACTTGGTCCTCTTGTGTTTTTGTGACCCTTCCCTCCTACTGGGTTGCCTTGTCCAGACTTAATAGGAGGGGAGGCGCCTATTCTTATTGCAACTTGATATACAATGGCTGGTTGATATCCAAGGGATGCCCACCTGTATCTGAAGAGAAACAGTGGAGGATTGGGTGAGGGAAGAGCGGATGGGGATGGGGGGTGGTGGTGGTGGAAGATATGGGACTTTTGTTGGGATGCAAAGAGAAAACAAGCCCAGTGTGACTGGCTGTTCTAGTTCAGTTCGTGGTCAGTATATTCTGACCTACGGTAGTTAGTTGGTCATAACCTTCCATTATTAAGACTAAGGGCTATTCTCATGACAGAGAGGCAAAGCTGAGCTGTTTTAACTGAGGTCTCGTGACCCAAAAGCCAAAAGTATTTACACTCCGGCATTTGCTGAACTTGGCTTTACTGATACCTTTATTGATTTAAAAACAAACGGACAAACATATACCTTGGAAGTCTCTGTCTCCCGTGAATATGGTGTTGCGGTTGTACACGGCAGCTCCTGTGGGCAACAGGAAACAGTGTGGGAAGGGATTCCACTGAGCTGTACTTCGATTTGGTGGGGGTGAATTTTGGAAATTCTCACCTTGTAGGAGAGTAGGCTCAGCGGCCCTTAGATTTAGCAAGCATTCGGTTATTCACTGGGAAACTAGTTAAAATGGGGCTCAGCTTTCTAACGCTCTGACAAAATATTTGAGAAACTTCTAAGAAGAAGCATTTAATTTTGGCATAGAGTTTCAAGAATTCAGTCCATGGTCACTTGGCTGGCCCTGTTGCCTTTGGACCTGTGGTGGGAGCTTGGGAGCAAAGGGCCTTTCCACCTCCTGGGGCATGGGAGGCCCAGAAAGGGGAGGGACAGAGGCACGCCTCTGTGGGACCTGACTGCCCAGGGAGCTCAACGTCTGTGGTAGTTTTCACCACAGTGTCCATCTGAGTATTCTGGGAGATAGTCCAGATTCAAGCTGTAGCAGGGCAACATCTGAATGAAGTGCAGAGGGACACAAAGTATTTACTCTGCTGGCAAGGGGTGCCCGAGCAGTGTCTCACACATCCAGATCTGTGCTGGGCACTGAAAGGAACAGCCAGCTGGCTATACACAAAATGAACAACAGGATTTTCAGAGAGAAGGGAAACTGTGCATCAAGGAAGCAGGACAGCTGTTTGGGAAGCCATAATTGAAGTGGGGATTGGGAATAGATGGAGCAAATCAAGAAAGATGGGTTCTGAGTGGAGGCAGGTCTTATGGTTCTTCAGAACAACTGGTGAACATGAGAGAAATCTTAGGAATAGTGGTGTGTGGGTAAAATCAGTTTTGACTTGACAAACTTGCAGAGTATATGCAGATAGTAAGTGCTCGATATCATTTGTGGACTAAAAGAAGAAACGGGCGTGAATCACAAGAAACACAGAGATAGAGAGAGTCTGCATGCTGGTCACTGGTACTTAATCCATCTTTTTGCTCACTTGTCTTACCATAAGATTTTCATGAAAAAAATCACCAAGGCAAATAGTGCAATAGAAAAATAGCCAAAGGCAAGGGGAGCGATCACCCACTGATACAAGGCGACTGATCTAATGAGAGTTCACCAAGGCCAGTTGACTGGGACTGAAGGAGCGCTTGATCCAACCAGATTCTCTGGAGGAGGCTGGATTCTCTGAATGTGGCTGGCCCGAAGTCTTTCTAAAAAGCCATTGACAATGACTCTGGGACTTGTTTCCTCTGCATATTCTGGATCTTTGGGGATCCAGTCTGATTAGATACTCACCTTCCTGGTTCTGGAGGGAGCGGGGAGGAACTTGAACTACCCACAGGGCAGGAAACCCTGACTGCTCTTAGGGATGGAGAGGGAAGAGGAGAGGGAGTGGGGGGAGTGGGAGGGTGTTGGGAGGAGGGGCGGAAATGGAAACTTTTATATTTTAATAAACTTTGAAAAAAAAGAAAACCATTAAAAAAAAGAAAGAAAAATAGCCAAAGATAGCCAGTGATAAGCTCACAGAAGGGGAATTCTGACAGTAGGTCTGGACTAACACCGTCAAGGTCACTATACCTACCCGGAACTGCAAACAGCTTTCCGGTCCTGTGCTGGGAAGGTGCTTGTCTGAAGAAAAACTGGTTTGACTTGGGAGTGAGATTGGCAAAAGTCTGCTGTGCTGCTTGCTGGTGAGTGTCAGCTGGTGAGCCACTGTAGACAGTGGTGAGGTGGCCAGCCTGGAGAAAGTCTGAAGACCTGCTCCCATGGCGTTTCCATTCATAGAAACCCTGGAGAAACAGACGTGTTCGCCTTAGAAAACGAAACAAAGTATAATGCCCTATATACAAAGTCAGCTGGGAAAATAATACTATTGTGTGTGTGTGTGTGTGTGTGTGTGTGTTTGTGTGTGTATAAAACTATTGTGTGTATATATACATATATATATACACACACACACACACATAGTACCTAGTTTTAGAGGTTAGTTATCTCGGGGGGTGGGCGGTAAGCAAGAAGGAAATTTAACTCCACCTGACGATTGGGCTGTGAGCCTTTCTTTAAGCTGTGTTATTTATGTGTTTGTGCATGTGTGTGGGTGCACACCCCCACTGCTTGTGCGCGGAGGTGAGAGGACAGCTTGCGATTCTCTGCCCTCTCCTGGACCGGATGCACTGTGCAGCCGCGCTCAGGTCATCAGCCTCGGTAGAAGGCCAACCATCTCGCCTGCTTGCTGCCTTGTAAAACCAGGTAACAGTTACCAAGTGTTCTCTTAAATTCTTTTTAAGAGATTTGAAATGTTTTGATGAAAGTCTCTTGTGCCTAGACAATTGCAGATTTGCCTTTGCTGCCAAAGTAAAATCTTCCTTTTAGCATCTAAATAATTTCAAGAGCTGCTTTGCAGGTTTGACTGACAAATGAGCTTGGAAGCTGTTTGATCTTTCAGAAATGGCTTCAGCCGCAGACACTGACACAATGCCCTCTGCAGTTCCTGCATTCCCCAGGACTCATCCCGCATGGACTTCCAAAGCACATCGAGGGCCTCGGCTGCAAGGTCCCAACAGAACACCGAGATTTTATGCTGTTGTCAAAGAATCAAGAGCCGTCGATGGAAAGGTACAAACGACCAGGCATATGAGGCCTGCTCTGTGCCTCTAGCACTGCGAGTCCCTTTAAAATGGTCCTTACCATGGTGATCTTTTCTCAGACTGAGCAGGACCTCCTCATCCAGGTTCACCTGATAGAAATCGGAGTGTAGTGAAATTATTCTGTATTGATTTCCTTTAGCCTTGTACCGCACCCAAGTCAGGGTCCTCTTGTTAAGCTCTGTAACTTGTGTGTAAGATGGTTGGGGTCTGTGACTTCATGTGATTTCACAATGTGCCACCTGCAGTGTGAATGTGTGAGTTGGTTGACAGCAGAGGTTTTTAACTTCCTTGTGAAATCCATACTACCAAAAGAAATTGCCATGTTTGACTTCTTTTCCTTTAGAGTCCACGAAAGAGGAAGACGAGCCACAGCACCAACCCGCCTCTAGAGTGTCACGTTGGGTGGGTGATGGATTCTCGGGACCATGGGCCAAGACCACCCTCCGTCAGGTACCTGATTGTCACACACTGTCTGGTGCTCTCATTTCAAGTTTCTGGAGAAGGGTACCAAGTTGCTATTTGGAAGGATTTGAAAATTAATATGTACAGAATTCTACAACAGAGCAACCAGGGAGGGTGGGAGGAGCAGCGCTCTTCAGGGAGCACTTGGAGGAGAGACTTCAAGATGGTTCTCAGGGTGACGGGAGGGGGGGTGCAGAGAGAAGACTCGGGCCACAGCCTGTTTTCCATTTCAGTTCTTCTTCCCAATTGGGGATTGGAAGACGGGTAAATGGTGTGAGTGTTGGGAAGTTTCCTTAGAAGAAGCCTAGATTCTTCATAATAGTCAGTAGATTCCTGGAAGGTGCTAAGAGAATTTTTGTGTTCAACGGTCTACTCAAACTGTATTAAAAATATAGAAACAGAATATTTTGAATTTTGTTTTCCTCTTGAATTGAAACAGATAATGTATTAGCAGGATATACTTTTTTCTTTTTAGCTTTAACTTTAAAAAGACCATTCTTTGTCAGGTGGTGGTGGCGCACGCCTTTAATCCCAGCCCTCGGGAGGCAGAGGCAGGCGGGTCTCTGAGAGTTCGAGGACAGCCTGGTGTATGAAGCAAGTTCTAGGGCAGCCAGAGCTGTTAAACAGAGAAAGCCTGTCCCGAAAAAACAACAACAACAAAGACCATTATTTACTGCAGCGACAGGTGAAACTATAAGCCATTACCATATTACTGTGCCATTTATTTAGACCCTATCCATGGGCCCCTGAGATGGCCCCCGGGTTGTGGCCTGCCGCGAAGACTGACAACCCAAGGTTAGCCCCCAGAGCGCAAGCCAGGTTCTCTTTATCTGTCCTCTAGTATCATGTGTGTAGGTACACCTGGACACACAATAAATATAAGAAATTCAAGCCTATTTCATGTTTATAGTAGAGGGCTTCAGAAGTACTGTCTGATCATTTTCTTCACATTAAATTCTGCTGAAACATTTGACAGACCCCAGGAATGGTTAACTTTGTCAAACAAGTGCTAGGGAGTTCTTCTTCAATTCTGTCTTGAAGCTTACGTTTCTAAATACCTATTTAGAGTGCTTTTAACACGGCTCTCCTTAAATACATTGTCCTTAACAGATAGAGTGTGTGTGTGTGGTATTCAGCACACTGCTTTTGAAGGACTTTAATCTGTGAGTGGGTTGGATTTTTTGTTTGGTTTAGTTTGGTGTGGGTTGCTTTGTTTTACCGTGGTTAGAGATCAGTAGGGAAAAGGCAATTTCAGTAGAATGTGGTTTTTGTGTCTGGTGCAAGTGAGAAGGAAACATGGAACAACAAACCCACTTAGGAGCTTATTAGAGGGGGCATGTACAGGCCTGGGGAAGTTCAGCTTTTCAAAGCTGCCTAGCGCATGCACACAGTGGGTTGACATGACTATGTCATACGCAGATGACGGGGACTGATGCAAACACACCACACGTGGGTCACATGGCGGGGGCTTTAACATCCCTGGGGCCATTAGGCCCTTCTGCCTGAGGGCTTGTCCTCACATGCAGGGCTCAGAACCCAGAAGTGTCGGCATTATTGTGGTTGAAATCATAACACAGTTTCTCTGTGTAGCTCTGACTGTGCTGAAACTCATTTTGTAGACCTGGCTGGCCTTGAATTCACAGAGATTCGCCTGCCTCTGCCTTTGAGTTCTGGGATTAAAGGTATGTGCCGCCAGGTGAATTAGTTTCTAAGAGTCAAATCTGATCATGTTATATTTTTCTTGCTAATAATTAACATTCATAACTCGTCTATTCCCTGTCTCACCCCACAATTTTCCACAAATATGGATGGTGGTGGTGACTGTAACTGCACACGCTGCCACGCCGTGTTCCCACAAATATGGATGTGGTGGTGACTGTGACCGTCCACACGCTGCCACGCCGTGTTCCCACTAGGTGCACTTCCCACTGTCCTTGGCACTATCTCCTGTTGAGAACTGCCTCGTCAGATACTGATGTAGCCACCAGGGTTTTCTTTTGTTTGTCCGGGTGTTTTGCGGTGTTTTTGAAACAGTGTCATTTTATGTAGGCACATTTCTTGTCTCGTTGTTGTCTCACTCTATGGGACAGTCAGAGCAGGTGGTGCTCAGACCTCAGTCTCCACGTATGACATTGCAGTTATGGCCCACCAAACATGACTCTGTCCCATCCTCCATGGCATCTGCAGTCACACACACACACACACACACACACACACACACACACACACACACAC